TGCCTCAATGAAAGGCGAGAAGTTGGACTGGGAGAATCCGAGTGGATTCCTGAATCCTCTTTTTCCGAGATGTATGGTGCTATTGCTATGTTGCTATCTATAAAATGAGTTCTGCTTGACCAAAAAAGTGATAATTGGGAATAAAGTTGACTAGTAAGGTGATAAACTAGGCGGTTCCACAATTTCCTGATTTTGGTTGCATCAGCTCACAGCTTGGAAGGAAAAGTCAGACCTGGCCGGTGCACAAAAGGCAAAAGTGCAAAGGCAGTGTGCCTTTGTAGACAAAGCGTAACTTAATTAGCATTCCAACATCTCTATGATTTCGTGTGAGGATCGCAACCCTCCACCAAACTTTCTCATCTCACGCACACCCATGTGAATACTGTGGGAAAGTTATAGAATTCCCACACTTTCAACAATTTATCACCCACGAGTGGATGTGATGACGATGACGATCAGCGGTAGTCATCCACCGCATGATTGCCGATGGAGGTTTCACATTTCCCAACGATGCCACTCACGTGCTTAATGGCCATTTATCGCCTTAAGCCTGATATTTGCACAGATGATGTATAGCTCCTGTCTCTGGAGGAGGTCGAGCAACCCACAGAGACCAGGCCGGCCACATATGGAAATGAGACCATCACTCATGGACTGGTCGTAATCTGTCATGCTGCTTAGACCAGGGGTCAACGAGAGTAGACCACCTGACCACTCAAGTGGTTGCTAAGCGTGAGTAATCCCGAATTCAATGGAATGAAGTGCTTCCAGCAGCAGTTGTATTGATAAAAGGATGTAAATCATCCACCATAAGGTGCTCCCTGTAGACACGATCAGCCCCCCATTCTGTAGAACTTTTTTTTTCAAAGGCATCTTTGGAACAAAGAACGATAGACTCTGCCGACATAGGGGGTTCCCGGTGGTGAACAGATCATTTAATAAAATCCTGAATCCGGGCGCCGTTCTGCCTCTGCTGCAGATGTCAGTCATGTCGTAAATCACGCGATTTTCGAAATCTGATTGAGTCCATAAATATTCGCGTTTATTGTGTTGTACATGCACTAATGGGGCTCGGCATGGAAATAGGTTTGTCACGATCACGGTCAATCGTTGGGTACGGTTTATATTGCTGAAGGATTTAGGTCAGGATCCAGGAAGGACTGAAAAATGGTCCACGTAGCATAAATATCAGCCTATCGACGTTCACATCAGTGTTTTGCTCCAAAACCACTTCGATACAGTACATCTAGTCTTGAAATCTTGGCAAGAACTTTATTCAGTCTTGGCAGGATGTGAAGTCGGAGACAGCGCCTGTGCTCTGTCCCTTCTCTGACAGCTGCATGTCACTGTTAGATAACAAGCTCCCCCTCTTCTGACAGAAGAATCGTCAGAGAACCATTCACGAAGCATGTAATCGTTTCCAAAAATAGGAGGAACAATATTGGAAAACATATTTTACAACTGTAAAAGTAAAAATATAAATAGTAATAGTAAAATAGTAAATAATAAATATCTCTGGTTCAAGGATATACGATAAAGGGCAACTATTATTGTAAAGTGTTCGTTATGAATACTGGATTTGTAGGATGCCTCAAAAACAAGAGGCTCAAAGGCTGTAACTAGACATGGAGACGTGTAGAATGATTGAGGGAGATGGAAATGAAGCCATGGTCGAGAGTTCTATGTTATATACTCCACGATTCAATGGCGCATTCATAGTAAAACGTCAAAGACGCTTGAGGGTCTAGTCTGGGAGATCCCAATCCTTCCTTCAGGTTTATAGAATCCATTACCTGAATTGTATCGGTTTTGTCGTTTGGAACATGCTTGGGGGAGCAGTAGGAATTAGTAAGCGACGATACTATGTAGGAGCACTTTCTGTCGCATTATTAAAAAAAAGCCTACAAACTGCGAAAAAAACTGAAAAACCAGGTCTGCTCCTATCGGTTGCTCAGGATTGCACGACTTTGATTGCCCCTTTCTAGAATTGGGGCTCGCAGACTGCTCCATAACTTTGAGAAGTGCAAACATTGCTGTTGAATTTCCATCCCTAGATTATAGTGGTTATTATTATTACTATTACTATTTTATCATTATGATTACTATTATTATTATGATTGTAATTGAGAGTGTTGAAGGTAATCGGTTTCCCACTTTGGCACTGATACTTAAATGTTCATATGTGAATCTTGAAGTGTGGTTTCGATGACCGGCGTAAACTGGATCCAGCTGTCGGTCTCTGAGGATTTCTCGAAAGGAGGGAGCGCCGCCAATGTCTTCATTTAAATTGACGGAACTGCTGGGCTAAGTAATTCGATTCGCACATATGTACATTCGCCGGCGATTGCTCCTTCGGGAATTCGCAGAGGCAGGAGAACGCGATGAAGTGGAATGAAATCAAGTGGTATATGGGTCTGAGAGATCTTCTGCCGAAGGGAGAGCAATCGTCCAACATCGCGTTGAGAACTGAGTGATAACACTTGAGAGGCAAGCTCCCAATACTCACCTTTCCGGTAGAGCTCATTTGAAAGTGGAAAGCTCAAAACGGTTTATTTTTTCTGCTGATTTGTAACACTCGGTCACTAAAGAGAGCCGTAGGGGGTCACTTGGAGATGTTTACTACAAAAATCCGCAGTGTTGGCCAGCACCTTAGAACAAAGGAGCAGTTCATAGAGAAAGCAGCAGGTGTCCGCTGAAGCATGACAAGTTTCGGCCAAATATGTTTGTTGCCGGAACAGCTCTTGGTGCCCTCCATCTCCAGCAAAAATATTTTTGAAGCCCACCACGCTTTGTTATCATACAGGGCCGTACATACCTGAGATCACAGATGTGGGGAATCAGTTGATAATGGGCTTTGCTATCTCAGATCCCGCATTCTGCTCTAACTTCCCAGTTCTCCAGAAACTACTCCATTTAACTTCCTGCTTCCGGACCCGAATGCGTGCTTCTGTCTTCATTACAACACCATTCCGTAGTCTCAGCTGTTTCTCTTCCATCCAACCCCCTTCCCCTTCCACCTCTCTCCCGTTTCCCTTTGCCGAATCGGATATTAAATAACATTGTGCTTCATTTTTTGAAGCAATGCCCTTCATGGGGTGGGTTTCGAAACAGAGTGCCTTACAGTGCAGGAGTGCATCGTCTCAAGGAGGGTACCGCTCCTTCTTCAAAGCATAGGAAGAGCCTGGCCTTTTCTTGTACATTATTGTACAATACATTCTGCGAATTTACATCTGATTCTTGGCGCGAGGCCTATGGTTACCAGCCTCAGATCTTGTGGCGTTTATTGTTACTAATAATATCCAGTTAGGTGTGTTACAGTATCCACTGTATAGAACCTTCGATAATTATGTCCTCTTCCAATTCTCGACTCTTCTCCCGCTAATCACACATATTACTCGATGTTGCGCGAACAGTAGGAACTGCTGAGTGCTTGTAATCCCTGAATGGGAGAGCGCATCTGTCCATAGCCTCACGACGGGATCCCAACTGCCTACCACCGCCAATTAGCACCTTCGTGACTAATTGTGCGTCTTCTAATCCAATGTAATCCGTGTAGATGTGACTGAGCAGCGCGGACCTACGACATCTCCCAAATCCTATGGAAGAATCGATTGCTACTGTGGGAGTGGATCATGGTTCAGGGCAAAAATAAACTTTTATGGTCAAGAATGAAAGAATAGGAGATAAGATCTCTCAATGGTGTCTGTAATACCCTAAGACTATCATATGAGTCCGTGTCTGCGAGCAGAACTTTGGATTATCCATTTTCAATGTGAATAACGCTAGCTCACAGATGCTGGTCTTCAAACTAATACGTACATTGCCGCTACATTCTCAAATCTGCCTAGAGTCAACTTAAGGCTTACTTTATCACAAGTCTTACCATAAGGTTGGGCAGCGGTCACTCCAGATTGAACGAACTTTGGCACTCCTACCAAACCGTGATTTGACTACATGAGGTGGACGTTCTAAACTACAATTTCAATTACCCACATGAAGTGCGACGCAGAAAACTAGTATCAAAATTATACA